CCCGCCGCGCCGGCAGCCGACAGGTCCCCCGCCCGGCCCCCGCCCAGTCCCTCACCTTTGCGTACAACACCATGAGAAACACCTGTCCAGCCCAGAGGCAGCTCCCCCCTCTCGTCCCCAACCCCCCGGGCCCTCAACAAAACTCGAGTGTGTGCTGGTCAAGGGGGTGGGGTAGGGGGGCATACATTAATCACGTGGAGAAAAGGACGGCGGCGGCGGCGGCGGTGGCGGCCGCAGTCCCAGAAGGGGAAAGCACAATCGTGTTGTTTCCTTTTCCTTTATCGAGTACACCACCGTACACAACACCGGCCCGAACGCACACTTATATAGCGCGGCACCGATAAAAGCAGCCCTCGCGATCCGAGTCGGTCGTTGCGGCGAAGTACGTTTCATATTGTGTGTGTGTGTGTGTGCCGCGCAGAGCGAGCGGTGTGGGACCCTGACCACTTTATTGACTCGCGCCAAAGGGACCAGAGGCCGACAATAAAATAGCGCCGAGCGGAAGTCGACGGCGCAGCGGCCGCGGGTCAACCAGAGCAGCGCGCGGGGTGTCGCCGGCCGGCCGTCACACCTTCGCCGTCCACCTCCACCTGTCCGTCGCGCGGTCTCCCACGGGACTCCTCCGTCTCCGTCTCATGCTATATTCACTTAAGCGGTCACTCGGTACTCGAGAGCGTAAAGCGTAAGCGTAAAGCGCACCGCTTTGGCGTAGAAGAGCGGAGTGGGGGGGATGCGCCTTAACCTTACATTGGCACATATTTCGTATGACACCTTCTTTACATGGTCATATTATCACCACAACATAGTCTGAATGTATGACAACTCCAGAAAATGCTTTTCAACACTCGTCAAAACCTAATATGCGCCAAGATGAGGTTAGGGTGCGTACCACAACTCCGCTCTTCTACGCCAAAGCGGTGCGCTTTACGCTCACGCTTTACGCTCTCGAGTAAGCTCTCGCATATGACCGCTTAAGTGAATATAGCATCATTGGCTGCCCGTTGCGTTCCCCGGAGGTTCCCTCTGGTTCCCTGTTGCTCCGGGCTGCACCAAGGCGGACGAGGAATGCAGGCAGCATGGGCTGGGCGAGCGAGAACCGCAGCCGCGTGTCGAGCTGTCGAGCAGCGCGCCCCCCACCAGCACCGGCCGTCCTCTTTTTATGTTGTTGTCGATGTGGTTGCTGTTTTAATTTTTATTTTATTGTCATTCGGCGGCTTCTCCACGAAGCGCCGGGCCCGGGTGGGGCCGGGCAATGCAGCTGTGCAGTGCTGCACAGCCGCAGAGGCGGGGGTCATGGTCGCGCGACGAGCGGCACTCGTTTCTTGTCTTTTGAACGCGACTGTACCGCGGAGTGTCGGAGAGAGACAGAGAAACAGAGGTGAGCGCGGCCGCGGCTCCGCCGGCTAGCTTAAGCCGCCGCGCCCCGCCCCTCCCTTGGTCTCTCTCTTACTCTCGCGGTCCCAAGAGCAGACGAGCCCTGGGTCGGCTGCCTAACCTCCGGGGGCATTCCTTTGCTCTCAGCTGGAGAAGAGGGCCCGGCCGGGACGAGCCGAGCTCGGCCCAGCCGAGCCATGCCGAGCCGAGCCGAGGCTCCAGCGGGTCCAGCGGCGGAGCGGAGAGCGGAGGCTGCGGCCTGGCGCTGCTTACCTCTTCGGCAAACTCGAAGTCTCCGTCGAATTTCCGGACCCGCTGCTTGGCGGCCGCGGCGAAAGCCAACGCCGTCAGCAGCACGACGACGCACAACACACGCATCCTGGTACTTGGGGGGGCGCGAGCTGGGCGCGAGCGGAGCCCCAAAACACTCCCGGGCGGCGCGGCAGGGACACTCTGGCCAGGCGCGAGCTCGGAAGGCACTGCGGGCGATGCGGAGCGGAGCGGCCGGGCCGAAGGGGACCAAAACAAAACCGAGCCGTGCGCTGCGAGCTGCGCCTCCCGCGAGCTTCTCTCCTCCAGCTCGCGACTTGGGCAGACCGCAGCGCCACCCGGCGGCGCCCGGCGCAAGCGCGCGCAGTGCCGCCAACCGCCGCACCGGCGCGGCCAGCCTTCCCCGCCCGGCGAGTCCCTCCTCGCGAGGGAAAAAAAATTGGCCAGTCGTTGGAAAAAAGGTGGACTGTTTAAACCAAAGAAGCAATATGTTAGGCACACAGTCGAGAGCGGCTTTCGGGGCGGCTATGGCATGCGAAGCGCGTGCGTCTCGATCCTCGCTAGTTGGCACCCAGGGGAGGGGGGGGGGGGGGTGAAGCGTAAGGGTGCCTCCGAGCTTCTAAGCGGAGGGAATGTCGGGGTCGATAAGCTCACACCATGAGCGAAAGACGCCCTTCTCATGCTCACACAGCTTCCCTCAGCGCCCCGCTCCCCCTTCTCCGCCGCTGTTCTTGCTATTCTTGCCGCGACGCGTTGAAACAAAGTAGTCGGGTACATTTTAAAGGGCAACTCAGTGCCAGAACTTTGTGTGTGTGAATAGATCCATTGAGGGTGGAGGGGCGAATCATCGTTGAGTCCGAAACACTGTACCCTGCCGATGGATAAGAGCACTTGAAAATTTGAAAGTTTTAATTTATTGCTACAATTTGTCACATATATGCATACATCCGTAACTGCGTGTAATTGTGCTCGTGAGCACTTCAATGAAACAGTTAATACGTAGGTCATCTCAACAGCACATGACATTGTTAAACGTATTTTAATTTACAGCGAGTAAACGTCCCAGTAATAAAATTTTTAACTGGACTGCAGTAGTTAACACACAAACAAATAAACATATCGTACAATCATTGTAACAAAGTGGAAGGGGGAGGGGGGTAATTCAGATTTTTAATAACCTTACAGGAGAGAGCATGCAGATTCTAAATTTCTCTGAGAACATGTGTAATAAATAGGAAGTTAAGTACATGATGCACTAAAGTCAAACAACTTTGTTTGTCATTATCAGATACACTCAGTCTTGGAAGAGCTATAAAGGGAAAGAAACACGAAACACAACATGTGCTACACCTGAAAAACAAATAAGTAAAAAAGAGAAAAAGGAGAGGGAAGCAGATAAAACGTACATTAGGATAGAAAATTACCTGAATAATATAGAACATCATACTGGCATTAGATAAAATTACAGATAGACATCAAAAATCATACTTCACAATTCACTTGTCTTACTAGCAATCAAAAGAAAATTCTTACTTCTCAATTATTTT